TTTTCCGTCGCGCTGTGATGATGTCAAATGCGCGCTTTCGTCGAGCGCGCTTTTGTGGACCGCGGTTTTGACGGGTCACGATCACCTTCTCTGCCTGAGGTTCTCAAAACATCTTTGCACCTTGGTATTGGCTGGATGTTGAACTGGACACTGGGAGGGGCTTTGCTTGTAGCAGTTTAGTCTAACGCTTTTGAACGGGAAACTTCAGATCCTGCCTACACGCTCTTTGCTATCACTCTCTTCCAATAAAAGTTCCTTCTGAAATGTTAATTGTTTCAAGAGTTCTGCTTTCTTGAGAAGGCTGGCGAGGAAGGACCTTACAACCAGACTGGTTTAGCTATAAGAACTCACAGAGAATTCAGACAAACAATTGTTTCTCAAAGTAAACCATTTTACAGAATAGCACAATTTTCTGAAAACAGCATGGGAAGCAACCATGAACAAAATTAACTTCCACTGTATTTAACCATGGATCTGCTTGCTTACTTTTGTTTTTTGCCAAATGTCATAATTCACATGTTTGTTTGAAAGGTTACAATGACTTGCTTAAAAACTGACACCATCACTAAAGTTGTTAGCATGTTTAGAAAAATCTTGCAAGCCAGTGGAAGATAGAAATTACATTACCATATGACGAACTGTTGAAAAGTTCAATATTGAAGAAAGCATGATCTCCGCTAGTCATTCCTTGCCGATGTGCAGCCAACATGATGTTCCGTATTGCGTCACTGCTGGCACACATGATCACAACTGGTGGAAATAAATGGAAAACAGAGATAAGGAGCCATTCCTCAAAGACCAGGAACAGACTGTCAAATTTCTGAAAAGCTGGAGACAATGACACAGACGGTCCTCTGGTTGTTTTGTTTTTGTTTTTTGTTAATTCAGGGCTATACAAAGGACATCAACAAGACCAGGATATTCAATGTGAAAAAGGAAAACAGTCAATGAAAGGCCAACTTTCACTAACCGTTTTACAGGATGGCAGTTCCTAAGTTAACTGGCATTAAGCACCTGATTTTATGCAACCGTTAAAGTAAAATAAATACTAATAAAGATGAACTGTTCCAGAAATTTGAATTCTTTGGACCTGCGATATGAGCAGATGATGGACTAGAAAAAACAACCATGTTTGGCAGTTTGGTAAGAAGGAAGGAAAGGCAATGAATAAGGTGGATAGACTCTGCTGGCATCTCTTTCAGTCTCTGCCTGCCACACACACACACACACACAAACACAAACACACACACACACACACACACACTCACACACACACAAGAAACAGTCCTTTCCCTTCCATCAAGGCGACACTGAAAAGCAGCCCTTGGTTGCAATGACAAGGCTAGCCCTGAAGTTTAGACCCAGGCCTTGACTTCAACCTAAGCACTATCACTGCCTCACAAAAAAGCCACTTCATTGTCGTTCCCAAGGAGCACAAGCCTTGGGGAACAACACAATTGTCCTCATGGTCCAGTGCTCCCCAGGATCTGCCATGCACAGCTTATTTTCAGCTTGTGTTATCTCTCTGTTGAAGGCCCCTGCAGCCTCCCAAAGGAATCCCATTGGAATCTCCTTAAAAGAGCTGTGGATCACCAGGGGCAGGTCCAAATGGATGTCACTTGTTCATATAGTGACCAGCATGGATCTGACTAGTTACTTAAAGGCATTTTAAAGTGCTTACGATTTGCTAAACCAGTGGTGGTAAATCCATTATACATGTATCAAAAGCGACATGTCAAAACATTTTGAGTGATATCCCAGCATTTACCAACACTTGGCACCAACTATTCTTGAAAGTACATTCCATTCTTATGTGATTTTGGAGGCTGTGGTGGCCACAGGAGAATGGAAGGTGCTTTTGTGTGGCTTATGGAGCCTCCAAAAATTACACGACAATGGGTTGTGCTTTCATGTGGTTTTTGGAGACTGAAGAGGCTATGGAAGACTGCTCTTCTCTAAAGCTGCTGCAAGAACAAAGGCCTTGTGCAACCTGGGGCAGCCTTTGGTAGGCTGCAGGGGCCTTCGACAGAGAGATAACACAACCTGATCAACAGAGAGATAACACAACCTGAAATTAAGCATTGCATGGCAGATTCTGGGGAGCGCTGGGCCACTGGGGCAATTGTGTTGTTCCCCAAGGTTTGTGCTCCTTGGGAACAGCAATGAAACAGCCTTTTGGTGTGGCAGTGGTGATTCTTGGGCTAAAGTCGAGGGCTGGGATTGAACTCTAGGGCTGGCCTCATCATTGTCACTGAATGCTGCTGTTCAGGGGGCCTTGATGGAGGGAAGATAAATAACTGTTTCTCTTTTGTTTTGGAGAAGGGTGTGACAGGCCAACAGAGGTGTTAAGCATTTTCCAAACTTTTGACATGTCAAGCACAAAAGGTTTATCATTAGTGGGCTAGATAATGCTTAACAAGATTCAGAAAAAAGTCCCATAATAATCAGACTCATGGTATACAAATCTGCTTAAAAGAAATGAGGAATTGGGAACAATTTTTGTTCTGAATTCTCACACACAATATATATAATGTAATATATAAATATCATAAATGCATATTATACATTATATTTAACTTACATTTATCAGTTATAGATATCATATTTTATGAAAGCCAGCTATACACCTAAAGGGAGTTGAGGTCCATGCATCTTAAATCTGCCAAGGATTTAGGATTCCAACATAACCAGTAAACATAAACAGCTATTTGACCCGACTCAGCCTCCCTTGTCCAGTATAACCCAGCCAGCAGCGACTCTCTGGGGTTTCAGGCAGAAAAGGATATTTCCCAGCTAGGCAGAAACAATCAAAATCTTGGGAGAGGAAAGGTGAGGTTTGGGGGAAGGGGAAAAATAAGATACGACAATAACTAAATAATAATAAATAATCTTATCAGAAAGGTCAACTCTGTGAAATTCAGCTTGACTCCTGTCAACAGATAGTTTTGACATCTGTATAGAAATGCCCTTTTATTGCATTATTTCATAATTTCTCTTTCCAATTTAATCTTCAAGTGCACAATTGCTTAGTGATCTCTGATCTATGTCTTAACCAAGTCCAGTGTAATAGTAAAGTTAATAGATGGGCACTGGGGTGACCAAGGTTTGTAGACTGCCTTTAATAACGGAAGCTTCTGGATGACTTGGGCCAGCTCCCTTCTCTCAAAGTAAATTATAAGATTATTGTGGGGAACAGTGGATGGAAATGTTATATATGCTGCTTTGAGTTTATAAACAAAATGTGGAAAACATTATAAATCTAACAATATATAAACCTATTATCAAAGGAATGAAAATAATATTTGATCTTTCAAGCTCTCCAAAACTTGGCAAAATGTGACAGGCTCTGCGGGGCAAATAAAATAGCCCTGCCCTCAGGGCTTTGAAAAAAAGGCTTGTGCTACTAAGAGCTGCCGCTCTCACCTGTGGCCTCCTGCTGTTAACAGCAGCTTGCTGAGAGCCTTCTGGCCCTCCTCCTCCAGCTGCTTTTCTTTCTCTTCCTTAAAGGGGAAGTTTTTCCTTAAAGGAAAGACTTTTTTTAAAGGAAAGCCGCAGCAACGATCTGAGCCTCGTTGCCCTGTCTGGGCTTCTCTGGCTAGTCAGGCACTCAAAAAAGGATTGAATAGGGCTTGCATAAATCATGATAGCAAGGTTGCCGGAACACAGGATGACAAAGCCGAAGAGAACCCTCACCTGGAGGGAGGGGTCCCCTTCTGCAGCCCTGCCAGGTGAAGAGAAACCTGGTAATCTTTCCTCAGGTTCCTCAGGATGAACACAGCCGTCGGTTGATGGACTGAGTCGGTAACTGGGTGGAGCCCAGACAAACAAGGCGTGGCTAAAAGAGCTTATCTGACTCAGTCCAATCAAGAGAGGACAAGGTCAACCTATCCTGGATACTCCTCCCCCAGGGGTGGGTTTCAACCGGTTCGCAGCGGTCCCTGCGAACCGGTTGGTCGGCGAACCCGGAAGTAAGTAACTTCCGGGAACGGCGAAGGGCGTGCCCGCCCGCGGTCCTTACCCGGTTTTGATGAGTTCTGCGCTTCCACGCATGCGCAGGATGCATACAGCGCCTGCGCGAGGAGCAGCTGGAACGTTGCGCAGACGCTAGTACGCATGCGTGCACCGCACGCGTGCACGAGGACGCCGCTGGCCCCGTTCCAACCGAACTGGTTGGAACGGGGCGAGAAACCCACCCCTGTCCTCCCCTCACTATGGAGAAAAAAAACAAAAGGGAGGAAGATGCAAAACTCAGAAAAGGCGTTCAAAGCATGAAATTTGCACTTCCAATTCATTACAAGAGTTAAAGATAATGAAGTGAAAACAAAATCCATATAAATACTGCTGGTATCAGACTACATCAGCTTTAAGGGACACAGAAAATTATTCCTCTTCCTAGCTCTAAAAAAATAGACTTTAAGCTGACAGATTCAAAACAGATTCAAGCTGTCACAATCTCTTCCCAGAAATTTACTTAGCTTTAAAGTGGACAAAAACATTTTTGGCCATACCCGCCAACTGGGTATTTGAGAGCAATTCTTAAAGGAAAGTATGAAGCCATTCACTATTTGCTCAGCACATAACAGTTACAGTATTGCCGCAAAGAATATTTTTATTTTCTTTAGATGAAGATTCCATTTATTCACGCACAAGTCTTCTAGATAATAATTCTTCAGCAGTTGCTTTTCTATGTACCTCCAAGATAGGTTTGAAATAGTTGCCCATATCAAGAACACTGGCAGATCATCTCTAGTGGTGGTTTAGTGGTTTATTCGACTTGTATGCTGCCCTATTCCCGAAGGGACTCTAAAACTCTTTATTCAGATGTCTATATATCTATTTATCCAGACAATTTATGAACTAATGCTAATACCATTGCTGCATATGCTGAGACTTCCTGAGTAATGCTTAAACTCAAGGTCATTTTTTTTTTGGCAATAGGATAGGGAATATTTTCTTATTATGGTATTTCTTTTTCAAGGAGGTCAAAAAGAAAAAAAATGAATTTTGCAGGTATTTTATTTTATGATGTTAATATATTGCAATCTAGGATCTCCTTGATATATAGACATTAACACTACTGTAATCAACCTTGCTCAGTTTTTATATCCATGGTTAAAGGCATGGCCAAAGGAAAAGTAGGTCTTGGAAAAAGATGAGCTAGATCTCCAAATAGGTTGTTAGAACTTGTTTTCTCCTGAGTAAAAACATTGGGGACTTGTCAGCTCAATGACTCCCAGTTGCTTGGCCTTAACGTAGTTAACTATACTATATGACAATTTATCTGGTAAAAAGATGAAGACTTAGATAACATTTAAGTTGAACAGCTTAGGGTGCTGGAGAACTCTCCTGCGAGTCCCTTGGACTGCAAAGCGATCAAACCAGTCAGTCCTAGAAGAGATCAACCCTGACTGCTCTTTAGAAGGCCAGATCCTGAAGATGAAATCCAAATACTTTTGGCCACCTAAGGAGAAGGAAGGACTCACTGGAGAAGAGCCTAATGCTGGGAAAGANACTGTGCCCGGCTGGAAAGGGGGTTTGCTGGATGGCTGCTCATGAGCATGGTCGCTTCATGGCTGTTGTGTTGCGCTGCTGCAACAGTGCAACGCAACCATTCGCCCATGAGGCTGTGCCCGGCTCTTTGGGAGCCCGCTCGGAATACAGCAGCCGCCCACCCCAAAACAATAAACCCTCCCCTCATGATAAGGCCCAAGCCATATTTTGTGGGTAAAAAGAAAATAAGACCCTGTCTT